CGCACGCTCCAGACGGATGGGCGAACCGTTTTCATCTGGGGATTCACGCTGTAGTACAGCTCAAACCCCGGTGTTGAGGAACTCTGTGACGTTTTCTGTCATTTCTGAACAGATCTCGTCCCCTCTCGCAGAAGTTCAGGAAATTCTGTTTTAAATGTAATTTCTAGAGTCTCAGAAGGAGAAGAAAACGCAAGGTCCCTCTCTCATCTCTTCCTGGTCCCAACGAACTGGAAAGATGAGATTTATTCTAGATTTGTCAATTTTTTGAACTGAGAGAAACAACACTCCATTATGCGCCCGAGCCGTTCTAATTCTGCTTTATCTGGACACCTGCTACTGCTGAGCAGTTGGTACAGACAGGTGGCAGCAGTGCAACTCACGTGAACCGGTTGAGTGATATCAGCTGTTTTTCCATCAGCAGACCTACGTCACACATGTCAGTTTTCACAGAAGCACACACATTTAACAAGCTGTGGGGGCGCTGTGGTTCTCCACACAGCAGCTCATTTAAATGTTTTTGGAGTGTCGCACGGGTTCTTTGAATGTGACTCAACACTGACCTTGAACTGCAGAATCATCAGGGTTTTTGATCCACACAGCCAGCAAGTGACTGTTGCATACATACTGGCAGGAGATGTATGCGCTCAACCCATGTGCCACATTGTGAGACAGATGCTGTGTGGGGCACACCCAATCTGCTCTCCATTAGAGTAGGGTACATCTTATGTCTTCCGAACAAGGGGCGGATGTGATGTCCAAAGACGGTCCTTTGTGGCACGGGGACCTGGGACCTTCCACCCAGAGCTATGGCACAGACATGGCAGAAATCCTGCCAGCGCCTGTGGACATGTAGCAACACAAGAGAACGCTCAATGTCAACTATAATTATCGTGGAGCCACGGGACGATCCACCGCTGGGGTGGACGTGCCTGCTTACAGCCTGTGGTCGTAATGCTTTTTCACCTTCCTCTCTCCCTCTGGTATCACAGTTTTCTGAACCGAGCTCAGGAGGAGGGACTGGCAGCTCCTCTGCCCCAAGTGCGTGACGTATCATGGTTCCCAGGCCTATGACACTTGTTATCAGGGCGCTCGTGGAACCTGCCGTGGAGGGAGGACGCTCTCCTCCAGGCGGGAGTAACGATCAGGAGTTAATCAGATTAGGCCAGCACCTGTGGTCTGGCCGCTGTGCGGATCTTTTTGAGAGGATGGATCTCTCTCAAGATGTAGTGCGTACAATTCAGGATTCACGTGCTGCAACCACCACAGCACTGTTCACATCAAGTGGTCAGTTTTTTCAGCACTGCTGTACAGAGAAAGGTGTAGAGGCCACTTCATGTCCACTGTACGACATGCTGTCCTTTTCTGCAGCAGTCGATGGACAGAAATCTGGTGTCCAGCACGATTATCATATGCTGCAGCCATGTTTTTTTCTTGTCTCAAAGTTGTCGTAGACAGAACAACCTTTAATCATCCTCTGACGGAGCATTTTGACTCAGATTGAAATAGCAGCTATGGGGCTGTTTGTGACACGAGAAACGCTCAGTGTCAATTATGGTTTTCTCTGAGCCCACGAGACGAACCACCGCTGGGGGTGGATGCGTTTGCCCACAGCCCATGGCCCAAAATGTTCCTGTACGCGTTTCCCTCCACCTCCTCTGATTTTACGGTTCTTGAACCGAGTTCAGGAGGAGGGATTGACAGCTCTCCTGGTGGCCCCCGAACGCGTGAGCGCACCATGGTTCCCAGTCCTGCAACGCCTGCTGTCGGGGTGCCCGTGGAAACTGCCGTGGAGGGAGGACGCTCTCCTCCAGGCAGGAGGAGCGACCAGGAGTTACCCAGAAATAGGCCAGCACCTGTGGGTCTGGCTGCTGAACGGATCCGCTTAGAGAGAATGGGTCACCCACAGAATGTAGTGCGCACAATTCAGGTTTCACGTGCTGCATCTACCACAGCGCTGTACACATCAAAGCGGACAGCCTTTCAGTGCTGGTGTATAGAGAAGGGTGTAGAGGCCAACTTATGTCCATTAGGTGGCATGCTGTCCTTTCTGCAGCAGCTGATGGACATAAATTTGGCGTCCAGCACGATTAAAACGTACGCTGCAGCCATCTCTTCCTGCCACGAAGGGTTTCAGAGACAGAACAGGTTTTAATCATCCGCTGATGAAGCGTTTTCTAAAAGGTGTACAGAGACGCAGGCCTGTTTTCACACCCACTTGTTCCACAGTGGGATTTAATACTGGTCCTGCAGGTCCTGATCAAAGCTCCATTTGAGTCTTTGGATCAGGTTCCACTTAAATTCTTGTCTCTTTAAACAGCCCTGCTGCTGGCTTTAACATCCGCTAAGAGAGTGAGTGATTTATCTGCCCTCTCTGTCGCTCCGTCATGTCTCAGAATTCAGGCTGATGGCAGCTCAGCTGATTTAAGACCAAACCCAGCTTTTATGCCTAAAACATCACAAGCTCTTTTAAATCAAGAGCGATATCGTTGGAGGGGTCCCCCCCCCCCCCACACACACACACAGATCAGAAGAAGTAGCGTCTTTTCATCTCCTCTGTCCGGTGCAGGCGTTGACGTGTTACATAGCGTGCACAGCTGTAATGCGTCAACATTTGTTTGTACATTATAGAGATGCATCTGCAGGTCGCCTGTTATCCACCCAGCGCTTGTCACACTGGCTGTGTGAGGCCATTTCTGAAGCCTACAGAGCATCAGATTTAGAGCCTCCTGTCAACCTCAGAGCACACTCTACCAGGGGTATTGCATCCTCGACTGCTTTGCATAATGGTATGTCAATGCAGGACATTTTGCACTGTGGCCACGTGGTCAACACCCTGCTCATTTATTCGCTTTTATCTACGTAATGTGACGTCTCGTTCCATGACACATTCTGTCCTTAGTGTTTTACAGAATGAATATTGTTGTTTCATGGAACTCTGTTTTACTCACATCTGTCTGCATGCATTACAGTGTGAGATGTTATCAGTCACGTTTTGATTGTTATTTTGGTTCTATTGTCACTAATCAGTTCACGACTATTGTTACCAATCAGTTCATTTGATTAATAATCAGCTCTCCTGTTATTATTAATCTGTTCATACGGTTCAGCCGTAAACCGGTTGGTTCATGGCTCTTTTCAGTTTTTTTCCCCTCCCCGTTGAAGTTTTCTGGGGCGTTCATGCATTCAGAACGCATAGTTACACAACATGCGTCTGTGCATGGCACACATAATTACGCAATGCGTAATTACGCACATGGGGAGCTGAGTGACAAGACGTTTTTTTGGGCAAGCTTCTGCTTCATACGGTGTTCGAATGGACCCAGTGAGGCGAGGACAACATCCGCTTCGCCCTTAACCCACTAAGCGACAGCCTTAAAGGGCGAAGCCTATATGAAATAGAATGTTGGTTACGTACTGTAACCCCAGATTCTATGAGTATAAGCGTAGCCCTTTAAGCGTCGGGCCTCACTGGCTCCTAAGTGGCTGAAGAAAAAGCTATTTGGGAGCCGATTTCCCGCTCTTAACGTAATTTATACGGACCGGGAGGGGCCCACACAGCAGGTGGGCCAGGACTAAATTTTTCAGTGCTATGCTTTGCATATCGGGATAAACCCACTAAGCGACAGCCTTAAAGGGTTACGCCTATACTCATAGAATCTGGGGTTACAGTACGTAACCAACGTTTGTCTCATTGGTCTCTATGTGTCCCTGTGATGGACTGGAGACCTACCCAGGGTGTCCCCCATCTCTCGCACAGTGATGGCTGGACATGGGCACCAGCGACCCCCACGACCTGAAAAGGAAGAAGCGAGTAAAGATAATGGATGGATGGAAATGTAATCATTTTTCATACACACACACACATACATCTATATATATATTTTGATTAGACATTTTTAAGTACAGCAGACTAAATAAAAAGCACACAAGAAGAACTTGTAACTTTAGTTGTTTTAAGTTAGATTGGTTTTATACTTAACATTTCTAAATAAAAATATAATGTAAAATTTGAACTAAATTTAGAAAAAAGGTTGTAAACTCAATCATCCAGGTAGATAACAAAAAACGTTAAACTGTGTCATCTGGACCAGTTTTTTTTTTTTAATGAGAAATGTTTTGTCCCCCCATCCAGAGGACTTCCTCAGCCTACGGCCTGCCAACCAGATGTGTCCCATAAGTAGCCTTCACTGCTGTGTTTCAAGACAACCTCCTGTTGGAATATCAAGAGTGGGCTAACACAAGACACACAGTCATCCGAGTCCAAACAATCTGTCTTCATGTACAACAATCAAATGTTTTAGGCCTAAAACATTTGATTGACAGATGACACAATTTAACGTTTTTTTGTTGTTAAATATAGAAAAACTTTTTTTTAAATAAAAAAATACCAAAACACTCTATTTTTAAAATTCTATACTTTGATTAAATGCAGTTGTGAAAAACCATTCATTATTTTTATTTGCTTCTTCCTTTTTGAGTCCTTGGAGTCACTGGTGCCCATGTCCAGCAATCACAGTGAAGGAGGTGGGGGACACCCTGGACAGGTCTCCAGTCTATCACAGGGACACATAGAGACAATTGGGACAAAAAAACCATTCACTCTCTCACCTAGGGACAATTTAGAGTTACCAGTCAGTCTAACATGCATGTTGTTGGTCTGTTGGAGGAAACTGGAGTACCCAGAGAAAACCCACGCATGCACGGGGAGAACATACAAACTCCACCCAGGAAGACTCCTGGACCGGGGTTTGAACCGGCAGCCTTCTTGCTGAGAGGCAGCAGCTCTACCATGCGCCACTGTGCTGCCCCTGAAAATGTTATTTAAAATTTAAATTTACTTTTGTAAACACACAGCTGTTTATTTATTTATCTCTATAAAAACACTAGAAAACACTAAAATAATTTGGGTTTTTAATAATTTGAGTTTTTCACTGAATCCAGTGTGAGTTTTATTGTGAAAATCTAGGCGGAAGCTGGGTTCCGGTTCGGCCTGCAGTTAGCGGGTTAGCGGGATGCTGTCAGGATCAAACGCGCACGGAGACAATCTCAGCTGCATCGTTTTCTCTCCCGATGGATAAACAGGTAAGAGTCTGACCCAGTTCAGAGTGATGCTAGCCCCCGAACTGACACCGTCCGCTCCGGTCCGGTCCGCTCCGGTCCGGTCCGGTTCGGTCCGGTCAGTGCTTTGTCCGGACTCCGGCATTGTTCTGTCAGACAGCCGAGTCAGGAAACCCGGTTCGGGCAGGATTTGTGGGCTGACAGGCCAGCGGTTCGGGTTCTGTGTGATTCTGGGCCGAACCGCTGGCTCGGTGGGGTTTGGTATGGCAGTGCACGCGCGGCACACGCTCGCGCACCGGGTAGTCAGCTGAGCCAGCTCCTGCCAACTTGACGCTTTAACAATGGCTCGTAAACACGACTGGGCCGGGATTAGCGATGATCCGGATCTGCTGGTTCTGGTGGGATCATTCTGGGTCCGGCACTGGGCCTCCGGTCTCAAACCGTGAAGTGGTTCTTGTGACGGGAGACAAACGAAGCCATCGGAACATTTGTTCAGAACCGGAAGGACTTCTCTCATCCATGCTATTTGTTTAAATCGCTCACTGAACGCGTCATTTGTTTTCATCTCTAAGGTCACTGAACGCATCATTGACGTGCTCTGGTTAATTCGCTCTTTGCTGCAGGTTTCTGTCATTTACCAACTTCTCCCGCAGTTACCTTCACACGTGGTGGTGACCTCCATCACCGCCCAGAACACGGGTCATGGTCCGGGTCATGGTTTGCAGGAGCTTAGACCATACCGCCCAGAACACGGGTCATGGTCCGGG